AAAATAAATATCCAAAGGAAAAAGATTTTTACATTCATTTAAATATTATTTGAATTTTTTAATTATTTTTATTTATTATTATAATTATTACTTGTAATTACTTTTTATTATTATCATAATTATTTTTATTTTTATTATTACGATAATTATTATTATTTTTTCATAGGGATTTTTGGGAAATCTGCATACAGATCCCTTTGATCCCCCAATCCAAGGTTATTTTATTATTATTATTATCATTACACTGCAAAAAAATTTTATTTGATTCAAATAACTGAATACTTGCCTATTATCAAATAAATATTTACTTGAATCAAATAATTTTTATCTAAAACAATTAAATTGTATTTGAACTAATAATTTCATATAATTTGAAGCAAATATTTAATTGACTCAAGTAGGAATTATTTGATTCAAGTAAATATTTAATTAAAAATTGTCAAATAATCAGTTATTTGAATCAAATAAATTTTTTTCATTATGCTAATAAATAAATTATAATAATAGTCTAATAATAATTATTATTATCATTATTATAATCACTATAATCATTACTATTATTATTTATAATCCCAATGGTAGAAAGAAATTTTGCAATATTATAAATAGATACTAGAAATAAATTACAATTAAAGAATATGCCAGTTACAATAATTAAAATAATCTAATAATGACAGTAATTAAAAAATAATAAATAATAATAATTAAAATATCAACGCAATATTAATATTGTAAAATTATATAATAACACATTTTATCATATAAATTTGAAATAAAATCCTGATTGATATACAAAAATCAAATATAATTGTGAATAAATAATTGAATGTTGAATAATTGAAATAAAATTTAATTGCGAATTTCTAAAATACCTCAGTGTTGAGCCCTTTTCTAAATGAAAATCGTAAGAGTAATTTTAACTATTTATTAGTTGTTAAGTGAAAATGACTCTTATGGTTTTCAGAGTTGAGCCCTTTTCGAAATTCTCGATTCCATCTGCAATAAAACCAAATTTGCAGTAGCAATTATTTTATAGTAGAAAATGAAAATTAATTAAACAGGAAAATACAATTTTTCATCTTTATTTAATGACTTTAAATATAGGATATTTATTTTCAATTATTATTTGATTTAATGTTAAAAATTCTGCTATACATTTTTTTTTGTAGAAACGCATCTGGTTGAAATATCAGATAGAAATTATGCGCTTATACGATTACATTCGAGTTGTGGTTTCTTGATATTATTAAATTTGACCTGCAACTATATTGTTCCAGGAAAATAATATGTTTGAAAATGGAATTCACTTTTTCTTTAGTTGTTCCATTTTTTCCTCTCTCTCTCTTTCTTTTTTCTGAGCGTGTACGATAAATTTACGTTGATCCCTATCTCGAAACACTCAGCTGTCTTTAGAAGAAAATAAGCGAACGTCTAAACAGCGGATTAACCGACTATAGCTTTAGGCGTTTACTCGAGCGCGTAATCGGTTACTGGGATAATTAGGCGAATAGACCATCTAAATTTCTTTCCCACTGTTAACGGTTACTCCTCGCTCATTATTTTGTAAATTTTCCATTTATCTCACTATTAAACTTTTAGACACTCGCTTTCTCTCTCTTACTCTCTGTCGTGGATTATCAGAATTTTTTATTTTTCTATTGAATTATTTCAGTGGATATTTTTTGAAAATTTTATATTCGCGAGCCACAACTTTGTGTGTAACTGATAAATTGTCTCTTAAATTTAAATTACATTAAAGTAACAATTTTTTTTATTATTTACACCGTTAAGTGAAAAAAATCTTCTTAAAGCTTTTCACTAACAAAACTTTAATTTTCTGTTGATGAAAATTTTCAAAAATAATTTTTCCTTCCGTCCTCTTTTTTCTCTACCGTTTCGATATGAAAATTGAATAAACGTTAAATGTCTTTTTTCTGCATTCAAGTAGGTTTTTTTGTATAGATTAAAGAGTGGGAATTAATATTTAAAATCGTCTTTACAATCGCTCCCCTATTTTGATATTTATTCTTTCTATAGAAACAAATGCTAATGCCTTGTTATTGGATATACTCGGGCAGAAAACATGAATCGTGGCAGGGGGCCACAATTATCTCATATTTCCTCCTCATCTGAATAACATTTTCGTATTTTGTATCATGAACGAGAGAAAGCGAATTAGAATAAATTAACACTATTTAAACATGTAATGTGATCCCATACAAAGAACCATAAATCACAATCAACCGAATAAATCAAGTTAATTTATAACTATTCGATATATTTGAGGACATAAATTTCTGTTCGGTTGCGCGTTAATGTCCCATATCATATCCAAATGTATGTAGATTATAATTTCGACTCTTAATTAATATATCAGGGCAATTATAAATATTTATTCTGTATGTGGACATTTATATTCTGTAAATTATAAATTATAAAAGCTATAGCTACAGAATTTCGCTTTTTTAGTCTAGACATTATACTTTTAAATAAACGAAACTATTTTATTTGGACCCGGATAGAAATTTTTCCGGAGGGGTCCCATTACAGTTGATGCTTTTGGAGAATCATAAAAGTTTCCTAGGACTTTCGAAGAAATCGGATTTTAGATTTTTGATTAAAATTGTAATTTAGATGTATGAATCTTTATAAAAAAAATAATTAAAAAAATATGTAGACACATACTCTGTTTCAAGGGAGAATGCTGTCGTTAAAAGATGAATTTTCATCCAGTTCGCGTAGATAGTGAGGAAATTGAAAGTTTTCTCCTCGGTTTTCGCTAAATTTTTTATTTTAGACGGCGCTTTTTCAAAAAAAAAAAAAAAAAAAAATAGTTACTAAACATTTTTGAATTACATAAATTTCACAACCTAAGAGTAACTAATAGAATTAGTAACTAATAGAATGAAAAGTTCGTTCGCACTAATTCAAAACAGTAAAATCCTCTACTAATTCAAATTAGCAAAATTTTAATACTTTATTAGTTTCAAATTTTTACTCAAATTTTAGTGAAAAATTACTAAGAATTAGTTAAAACTTTTACTAATTAAAAATAGTGAATGACTTTTCACTATAATTATTCAGATTTGCGAATCATATGTAATTTTTTTTGATAGCGACAAAATTAATTAATTAATTAATAAATTAAATTGAACAAGAATTAATATTTTAATCCCCATAAAATTTTTAATTGAATCCCTTTAATACTTTATCCCTATTTTATAATAATTTATAAAATAAGTTATTTTTCATTGATAATTATAATGTTGTAAACTAAGAAGTAAAATGATGGATGTTCTGATTATTGATCAGAATAATTAATAAATAAAACTACAAACAAATTTAAAAGGATGATTTTTTACTCTAAATTTTTAAGTACTGCGAAATAAAGTGAATTTTGTAGTTGTTCCAGAGGTGTATTGATTTATTATGAACGCTATTTTATTTTAATTTAAAATTAATTACACGAATAAATAAATTATTCTCAAAAAAATAACGGCAAAAACTTAAAAAATTAACACGAAATATGTTGTTGAAAATCTAGGGCTTTGAGTTCAAAAATATTGTTTATTTGAAGAATACATTAAAAAAATATATTTTTGAATCAAATAATCGATTACTTGTCTATTATCAAATAAATATGTACTTGAATCAATCATTTCAACATTTGAAGCAAATGCCATTTAATTGACATAAATAAAAATTATTTCATACAAATTAATATTTATTTAAAAATCCATTCATATCTTTGGTTGATAAATTGTAAAGTATTTATACCAAATGGCTTGTCTCGTTTATAAATAAATAAATAATAAACAAGTAAATGTCTACTTGCATCGAATAAATTTTTTTTTCTATTTATATATTATTGAAAAATATATTCTGTATTGATTTAAACTAAAAAATACACTGAAAACAAATTAATTTGATTCAAATAACCGATTACTTGTCTATTATCAAATAAATATTAATTATTTATTTCTGTTAATTATTAAACTAAAAAATATGTTTCAATTAATTTTAAATATGTATGATTGTATAGCAAAGGTATATTTTACACTGAAAAAACGAATATAGCAATTTTTACTACTTTTATAGTGAAATCTAAATTGCCAAGAACTTCTTCACATTTCTGGCAACTTTTACTATATTTTTATACTAAAAGGTAATTTCTTCGAAGAACATAAAATTTTAATAATTTTCATAAATATGATTTTCGTACGTATTTATTTTTCTCTGAAGTTAAAGAGTAAAAGTTTTTGCCAGAAATGTACAGAAGTTTCAGGCAGTTTCGGTTTTACTTTATAATAATTACAGTCGAACCTCGATTATACGAATTGATTCGGGCAGGGCTTAGCTCAGTTAACCAAAAGTCAGGATAAGAGAAATTGCAAATATTTTCGTTTATAATTATGGACAAATGGTTTTTTTCAAGTTATTTTGCACTATAAAATAGAACTTACGTCTTTTTCTTAGGTATTTTATATTTCCATTAAAAATTAGAAACTAGACAATAAAATTTCTTTATTTTTATGAAATTTGTGTACCGATAACTAACAAATCACACTGAGTGTGATTACTTAAATAAATGGTTTTCTTAGTGCGGGGTTTTCGGTGGTTCCTCCGTACAGTTTTTTGTACGGGGGGTTAATGGGGCTTGCTGGCACATATGTCGGGAAACAGTCAGTCTTTAGTGATGAAGAAAGTAATCTGTATTTTAAAAAAGCACCATTTTAAAATTTTTCTCCCTTCACAGTCTTTCTATGGACATCAAATTGAGACAAAAAACGTTGCTTTGCAACATTTTTGATTCATTTTTTGTCTCAATTTGGTATCCTCAGAAAACAGCTATATTTAACAAAAAAATTTGCGCTTTGGAATAACAATCTCTCCTGGAACAGAGTATTAAATCTATTTTTCTCCTTTTCAAATTTAAAAAAATTCTTTTTTGTTATCGTAAAATTATGTTTTTTGATTATAAATCTTCTCAAGTATAATACCTGGAAAGCATCGCGAGATCAGCCGACGCTTGATGACCAATCATCGTATTATTCGCATCACTTGAAGAATAACTCGACACTGGGCTCGTTGTATTGATGGCGCATCCAATGCCAACGGAATTACTCCTCGTTTCCGTTGAATGATTAATCAGTCTTTGTCCACTAGCGAGTTTTAATGGTGAGGGCGACAATATTCGCGAAACGGGACTCACACACGTTATAAGTCTTTGATTATTCTGCGAATTCGGTGGATTTAATGGCGACGATCTATCGGCGTCCGATTGACGTTCACCAGACACCGATGTCGAGTCAGCCGTCGGCGATTCCGATCTACCAAGAATATTCGAAATACTAAACGACGTATATTGCGGATTACAAACCGGCCTCAATGTCGCCTTACCAACATCAAAACTAAATGGATTTCCAAGTCCACAAGCACTTTTACCATTTTTCTCCTGTAGTAACATTTCGGCGGGCGTTGAACTACTGCACGAATTTTCCAACTCCAAATCCTCTTCCGATACAACGGACACTTCAATTTCTATTTCACCCGACATGTCCTTTTAATCATCCGCCTCTCAAGTTTTTCACCGTTGACGGTGACTTGACTTTTTTGTGATCAAAAGTCCCGAATGGTTTTTTATTTTTCTTTATTTCTTCTTCTTTTTTGATCCTTAATTCCAGTGCTGTCATTGACGTAATTTAAGGGTTAATACACCGAACACAAACATCTTGTACCGCACCATTGTTGTTGCAAATCCCGGTAACATGATTATCAGCAATAACAAAACCACATATCCGACGGATGAACGCGTCGACGATTCGAACGATCGACCGACATTCGTAAGCGATACCTGGACGACAGGATGATAGGGGACAAGACGCTTTGCTAAAGTCACCCCCCTCGCCCACTCTTTTGCTGAACCCCACCCTCAAAGGATCCCACCACTCTTTTTCTCAATCAGTCTCTCTCCCCGCGTACTTCACTCACAACCCCTCTTTTTCAAGCACCACTCCTGCTCTTCTTCATGTATAAATGGCTCACAATTTCCACTTCCTTTCACTAATCACTGCCTAATTTCGCGGCCTGCCACTTTACAATTGGAAATTTTGTATTCTTACCCCTGTATAGTCAGTAATGACTTTTTAATTTAGTATAGCTCTATTATAAAGTTATATATTCATGATGATGATTCTTTGGTGTTTTTTTGGAGATGTTTCTTGATTGCTGATTTATTTGATCATTGGGATCAATTGACTGATTGGGAATTTACAATTTGCGAATTCCTTCGGGGAGGTGTTTTCCTTGGGGGAAGTTTCTTCTCTTGGGGTTGTTGTTTCTCTTTTGATTATAGTTGGCTATTTTGTGGAGAATTTATACTTTTGGAAATGTTTTCTTTTTGAGAACAATTTGGACGTTAGGAATAATTTCTTCGGGAACAATTTGGACCTTAGGAATAATTTTTTTGGGAATTTCTTTTTGAGAACAATTTGGACGTTGGGAATAATTTTTTCGAAAGTCGCTTCTTTTTGGAAACAATTTGGACTTTGGGAATAATTATTTTTGGTTCTTTTTAGGGAATAATTCTTTTTTGGGGAATAATTTCGACTGTGATGGATATAGTTTCTGTTTTTATGGGGTCTTGAGTGTTTAATCGTGTCGTGGACGTAAAGAGGCAGGCGGGGTGGTTGGTTTACAGCGAGCGACGGACTGATGATCGGTACTCCGCTTGGCACCAAGGGTTGCAAACGCCGTAGAAAACCGCAGGTCACACGTACATGTCGGCGCGTCACTGTCTCTCTCTCTTCTTCTCGTACACAAACGATAAACATGCACACGTGCCCGTATGTACACACACGTCTCTCTCTCTCTCTCTCCCTCGTGCGCGCGCTCTCTTTCGCTCTCCCGCGACTCGAAAAAGAGAGTAGCACACTCTCGAGAGGTGGGTTGTTGAGAGAGTGAAAAGCAAAAGCAGAGAGAGGTACAAAACGTTGGGGTTGGGATGTGGAGAGGCGTGGAAAGTGGTTTTTGAACGAAGGGAGCGAGGGAGGGGGATGAAAGGTAGGGAGCAACGATAGGGGTTGTATCTCGTGTAGTGACTAAGCTAAAAGTTGTTGGGGTTCTACGAGAGAGGGTTGCGGGGCGGAGTTTAGCATTGAGAGGACGGCATTCGCGTTTTCTCATAGGTAGGAGCGGCGATCGATGGTCCGCGTTACGTTGGAACAGTCAGGGGTAGATTTCGGAATGGACCAATCGCGTGAGCTTTGTCCTTAACTCGCAAGATATACTCCGCTTGTTTAGACAGAAGGGGTTGTTCAGGGTTGGTTGACTACTGGATGGAGAAAGACGTGAGAGAGGAATTGATAGGGTGCGAGCGAGAGGAAAATAGGTGAGAGAAAGAGAGAGTAGTAGAGGAAGAGGGAGAGAGTAGTAGGAAGAGAGAGAAAGAGAGGGAGGGGGGAAAACTGGTGTGTCCGTCCCGTGCCACGTCGTGTTACTTATCCATTATAACACTCCAAGATCTTGATTTAAGCCTGCAGCCAGCGGTGAGCTTTTAACCAATTAGCCTTTATAGCTAACCCCCTCCCACCCTGCCTCTCTCTCCTTCTCATCGTCGTTGGAACTCACCCTCTGGCTATCCTGCTCTCGCTTTACTGTACACCTCGTAGGTACTCTATATATATACACTCTACCCCCGGTTGCGCGATATACCCGACTAATCTACCGGTTTTCTCCTTCTCTTTTCATTCGAATTGGTATATCTCTCACTCTCGAGGTGTATTTTGCTGGAAAATAAAGATCTGTATGAATCTTGTCTTTAGTGGTCTTGGAGTGCTTCCACAGTCAATGTTTATGTATATATATGATGATGAGAGTTGGAAAATTATATCTTGGCGTTTCCGTTTTTTAAGGGAAATTATTAGAACAGGCGCGGATGATGGTTGATAAATTCTTATACAAGAGGAAAATATAGATTTTGTTTGAATTTGTTGCTAATTGGAGCATCGTTTTCTCAAAAGTATCAAATTGATACTATAAGTGAATTAAATTGATGCCAAAAATTTGGATCAATTTTTTATTTGATTCACACATTTTTGCAGTTCGTTGCCATTTGATAATTTTAAGTTAACAGTGAAGATGATGTGATGAAAAGATGATGTGTGTAAATATAAAACGATGTATTAATAAATACTATGCGGTTTTTTGTTGGAATTTTTATGGTTTTGTAAGGATGTCAAATTGAGACAAAAGACGTATTAAAATTGTTGCGAAGAGCAACGTTTTGATACGTTTTTTGTCTCAATTTTATATCCTTAGAAAAACTCTGTTCCAATGCTATAATTCTCGTTGAGTTTAATGTATATAATGCATTTTTTGTTTACGAATGCTATAATTTTGGTTGATGGTTTTAGCTTCGTAAAGTTGGGGTCGAGAATCTTTTTCACCTTCAAACCAAAAGAATATCAAACCATTTTTTCTTAATTTTTTCTCTCAAACAGTGTTATATGATCAATTTTGAAACAGTGGAAATGGTCAACAGACATATTTTAATGGAAAAATAGCAGACTTCGGCGCTCAGCATCGACATTAACTTCAGGGATTTAAAATTTTTATTTTGAATTCCTTTCAGTACAACTGTAAAATATGGTTGGAAATTCTTCTGGTTGTTTTTGAAAGTTTGAGGAAATACTTTTTCAATATCGACTATAAATTTATGGTTGAAAATTCTTGAAACTGTTACTGAAATTATTAGGTAGTATACTTTCTAAATATCGACTATAAATTTATAGTGGAGAGTAGTGTAAGTAATTGTTACAAAAATGATAAGGAAATAATTTCCAATAACGATAATAAATTTATGATTGTGAATCCTTTTGGCAGTTATTGAAATGATAAGAATATATTTTCCGAATAACAGTTATTAATTTATGGTTAAGAATTGTTTTTTATTCATTTCTATTTTTTCTATGCAGCTTCTTGTTTAAAAATTTTAATTTTATTACTGGAAATATTACACTTGAAAAAATTTCAATGATAAATAAACGATTACTTATCTATTGGCAAATAAGGGAGAGTGGGGCAAAGGCGCTATGCGGGGCAAAGACGTTTTTTAAAATATATCCTTTATTTTCTGTCTATTCCAATTGGTATTAAAAATTTAGTTTTAATGCAATCAGACCAATTGATTAAAAAAAGAAAAACCTAAAAATATCAAATATTTTTAGAAATATAACAAAAAAATTGTTTTGCAAAAATAAAACGATAATTTTACTAAACAAACTCTTATTTTTTAAAACATAAGTTTAGGGGAGCGTGGGGGAATTGGAGCCCCTTAAGGAAAATTATTTAAAAAACCAACTTATCTTTATAATGATACATTGTTTTCGTTATTTTCTACTCATTTCGTTATTTATCTTTAATTATGTTTAATTAGAAACTTAAAATGAGAAAGTAAATTGGAAAAAAAAATTTTCAAAAAAAAATACATTTTTTGCCATCACCCAATTTGTGGGGTATTGGGAGCTTTCACTTGAAATTTAAAATTTTTTTATTTTTTAGGAATATTTTTTGTTTTCTAATAGAAAAAAGTGTTAATACTTACAATGAAGCCAAAACTTTAGACTTAGAATAATTTTTTTCCTAAATTATAAATAAATAAAAAATTTTTGAAAGAAAATTAAATTTTTCATTTTTTCCACCAAAAATTAGTTCTTAATTAAAAGTTTGTTCATAAGGTGATATCTTTTACAATTTTCAAAGAAATAACGAAAGACGCAACATAGTAACGAAAATTCTTTGGTCTGACACTAATTCTCCCATTACCCCACAGAATTTTTACAGGACAAAATTTGAATAAAAAAATAAAAACATAAACAAATTTTATTATTATTTCGATTTTTATACAAGTATACATATCTACACATATTCACCTATAATATAATGAGAAAACAGAACTAAATAATACGATTTTAACTACTCATGGTGATGTTTAGAAATATTTTGCATTTTACAACGAAAACTCAAAAAATACATTTTCCCTTGTCTTTACTAAAAATTTGTCAAGAATGTAATCGTTTGTTTTGGAATGATATAAACAAAGGTTGTAGAAGATTTTCTAGACATTGCAGCGAATTTGAAGGCTTTTAAGTGCGTGAAATTTAAAAGCTCCCATTACCCGCAAGCTCCCCTAAGTATTTAATTTTTAAAAACATAACATGTAAATAAATTAAATATTTCTCTACACAACTGGCGTGGTGTTTTAGTTTTATTTTGAATCTAAATATTTTAAAATTAAAGTAAAAAAAAGTTTGTTATGTGGGGCAAAGGCAATATTGAACATAATTTGGTTAAAAACAATTGAATATTCGAATTTTCTATGTATTAATTCACAATATAAGGTTAAAATCACTAAAAGTTTTTATTTTTTATTTAAATAGTTTAATTCTTTTAATAATATGTTGTTTACCTTATGTTTCGTAAATATTATACTAATAAATATCAGTTGTTAATTTTTTTAAGGCTTATAAATGCTTTCTTTTAGAAATATATAAGCGAAAACGTCGCTGCCCCAGCGTGTGGGGCAAAGGCATTTTTTGCATTGTTTTTAAATTTCATTAAATAATGTATTTATAATATACTAAATAACAACTATTAAATTTTCTTGTTGATTAGTTTTAGAATAATGAAAAACAAAGACCGCATAAATTAATTGCTTAATTTAAAAAATATACATCGATAAATGTAAACCTAGCGCCTTTGCCCCACTCTCCCCTAAGTATTTATGTGTATCAAATAATTTTTACTTAAGGGGTGACACACCACTCTATATAGAGGGAAAACAAAATATCTATCTTTGATTATTTATTTTGTGAGAATGTAAAAAGGAATAAGATTTCTTTTTAGGGTTTATTTAAAATGTATATTCAAGTGTAAAAAAATTGTATTTGAAATTTTACTACAATATGGCGACCGTATATATTAACTGGAGGACAGTTTTTTTGCCAAGTTTTTGACATGTAACAAAAAAAACAAGAAACTTCACAATCTGTATACTATAAACTTTTGCCTTTCATTTATTAGTTTTATTATTTATTACCATTATTAGTATTACTATTTTATAAGTTACATTATTACATTATTTAGGATTATTATTTTCACAATTAAAATCATTAGAATCAGTGCATTTATTTCTACAGAAAAATATTATTATCTAAATTATTTGAATATTAGAGAGAAGTTAAAGTAGTAGATTTATATGATTTTAGAAACTTATTTATTTTAATAGTTCATAAATATACAATAGTTGTAAATACAGAGTTTACATTAACATAGAAATTTATTATGAAGCTAATTGTAAATCCAAAATCGTTACACTGGAAGATGTTAATTTTCGAAACGGTTAAACTTGAATTACAATACTCTCGGTATTTCTACAATAACTAATTCAATATTAACTATGTTGCTATTCATATATAGGCACAAAGCTTCTCTATACAGTTTGCGCATCGTCTATTTAGTGCAGTCTATATATAACACAATGATTAACTATCGAATTGTAATTTCTCTATTGTTATATCAAATTGCATTAATTACATGCTACATTACTTCTAATTAACATTTATGATTGAGTTGTTCATAGTTGCAATAGAATTCTTTACCATAAAAATAAAAAATTAAAAAATATGTTTACCTTTCCTAAAAGTATTAATAATGCTAAAATAATTTATGAATAATTAATTATTAATTATTTGTTAATCAATTTTTAATTAAGGGAACATTCCAGTTCAAAATGTCAAAAAATCGATTTTTTTTGTTTTTATTTTCGGATTTCTTATAGTGTCAAGAATACTCTCCTAAAATATTATTGCAAAATTCGAAGTAAAACAAAAGTTATACATCCTTATTCTTTGCCATGTCAATGATGTTTTTGTATGCGGATAAGCAATCGAATAATTTAAATGTTTTCTCATTTGCATTTTTTAAAAAAGACAAACAAAAATGTTATTTGGTGTTGCTGATCATAAATTAGATATCAAATTTTCAAAATTCAGAATGGCGGATCCAATATGGCGGAAAAGAAAATTTTTTTATTTTAATTTTTTTTTCGTTTAATTTTTCTTTTCGTCCACCATATTGCATCCGCCATTTTTAATTTTGAAAATCTGATTCCATATTCGTAATTAGCGACCTCAAAAACCCCCGAGTAACGATTTTCAAGCAAATCCGATGATTTTTTTAAAAAAAATTTCGAAACTTATGAACAAAAACTTTAAATGCGTTTTTCTCAAAATGTCTTTTTTTGATCTGGTAAGAGTGATATCTCGAGTTCTTCTGAAGCGATTTTAAAAAATCAAACGGCTTTTGATTCAGCGTCATCATGCCTATAAGTGGAACCTCAAAAACTGGAAAATTTCCAACTCCCCTTTTTTTATAAGAGAAATTCTGAATAAAAACACCTTTTTTTTGCATATTTTGGGGAAAAAGTA